TTGAAAGTGACTAATGAATTAATGGACGAGATTAGAGAAGCCTAGGAGTTAGATCCTTTCTTAGTGAACCAAGAGGAGAGGATTGGTAGGGGCATAAATAGCCCTTTACGAGTGGAAGTTGATGATGTTTTGGGGTTCAATGATAGGATCTACGGCCTAGTAATCTTGAATTTAGGAAGATAATCTAAGGGAGGACATAAGAGTACTCTTAACATCTATTTAAGAGCTACTAAGGTGTATCAGAGTGGCGCAGCAGAAGCGTGGCGGCCTTAAGTGAAGTGAGGAGTAGAGAATATTGTGTACTCATGTTTAGTATGGTATAAGTCTGAGACAGAACATCAGAAGCCTTTTATGACTTTTGTAGGCTTTAGATGTCCCTGTTTGGAAGTGAGATAATATGTCTAAACTTTGTTGTGGGTTTGCCTAGGAAGTTTAGGAAGAATATTGAGTTTAATTAATGAGTCATAGTTGAACCTCTTCGTTTTAGAAATTCGAGGACGAATTTCTTAAAAAGGGGGAAATATTGTAACACCCCAGTTTTCAAAATGGTTATTATTATTGTTGTTATTATTATTATTATTATTATTATTATTATTATTATTATTATTATTATTATTATATGGTATTTGGTCATAATTTGGTGGTTATCTTTACTTCAATTGTAGCTAATTCACACTCCATTTATGCTTTAGAAAGATATGTGTGTTGTTGGGCCTAATTAGATAGTTGTGAATTTTTTTGTTAAAATCGTTTCTCGCTGGGCTGATTGACAAGCCTCGGTTTTTGGGCATAACCTGGGTTGTGGTTGTCCAAATGATGCAAACTCAGTGTCAATGGAAAGATACGAGAAAAACCTACAACTGTGCAGAAATAGCCATTCACAAATTTTGTCGTCTATAAGGTCCAAATCGGAATTTGATTTGTTACAATCGTTTCTCATTAGGCTAATTGGCAAGCCTCGGTGTTTGGGGCATAACTTGGGTTGTGGTTGTCCAAATGATGCAAAATTAGTGGCAATGGAAAGATAGGCGAAAACTAGACAACTTGTATAAAATAGCCATTTGCCAATTCGGCCGTTTAGAGGGTCAAAATTGGCATGCAAAAGAACATATTCACTAATTCATCCCACCAACTATACTAATTCATCCCACCAACCCTACTAATTCATCCCACCAACTCCACTAATTCATCCCACCAACTCCACCAAGCCTAATTTCTTTATATTTTAGTGTGTTATGAAGGCTATAAATAGCCCTTCAATCTTCCATTTCAATTCATCCCAAGAAACACTTCTCATTCTCATTCTCTCTTCTCTTATACTCTCTCTTATTTCTCTCTTCTTCTCTCTAAAGGCCAAGGGAAATCTAGAGGAGGAGGTTTTGTCCTAGTTTTAGCTCCGGTCCTTATTTTAGATGGAAGGAGCCTTTGGGAGGCAGTTGTGCTATAGTCTCAGTTTCTGCTTATCCAGGTACGGGGGAGTGAGAAATCTTGCTTTGGGTGTGAGATTGTATGCTGGGTAGTGGGATTGGCCCCCAATCCTGTGTTTGTTGTATGTCATATTTTTGTATGTTATAATTACTTGGTTAAAGTGTGTATGAATATAAACTATGTTAAGACTATGATTGTGAAAGTTGTGAATGTGATGTGATAATATGAATGTGATGTTTTTGATGATGTGATGATAATGTGATATGATGTGATGATGAAATATGATGATGCGAAATGACCATGAGATATGAAATGTGATAAAGAGAAATGACCATGGAAAGTGATAAAGTGATATGAGAATGCATAGAGTCTTGTTTGACATGCATCATATGCGCATATTATTCTAGGTGTGCCGCTGAGGCTGCATACCTAATAAGGTGTACCTGAGAGTCACCAACAGTTGTGATATGCTAACAAGGTGTACCTGAGAGTCACCGACAGTTGTGATATGCTAACAAGGTGTACCTTAGGGTCACCGACAGTTGTAATAAGGTGTGCCTTTGGGTCACCGGTGATGATATGTGAAACTTCCTTATGGCGTCACATGCATGATAAAATGTAGTCTGTGTCCATACAGTGTCTTTTAATGTTATATGACAAATTGATATGCCTTGGATGAGTGAAATGTGATATTGTTATTAATCTATGTTATATATGTTTTGTTTGTGTTTGGCTATCTAGTGTATATTCCTACACTGTGAGCCGACTGAGATGTTTTCTCACTCCCTTTTTCTTTGTGTTGTTCTTCTCTAACCGTTATACAGGTGATTATTAGCATGAGGCTGAGGATGTTGGTAGTGAAGCTTAGGCTTCTATATGGGCTTTGCTCTAATAAAACATGTGACATCGGGGCATAGATAAGATTAGATTAGGGTGTTATTGTTATTTAAAATTATTTTGGAAACTTTAAGATTTATTTGTAATTTCCGCTGATTATGTTTGTTAAATATGATACTCTCTAAACATGTTTGATCATTAAATGTTATATTATTTAAATTTATTGAGTTATGATATGCGGGGTAGAGGGTGTCAAACTATATATACTATGTCATTTTTATGAAAAATTTGATTCATCTTTGATTTTGAAAATAAGAATTTTTCAATTCATTTTTTAAAATTATTACTTAAAGTTGATATATATTTTAAATCATAGTATGCATGATATTTAATTTAAAATATATATACTTCATAAAAGTTGAAATGAAATAAGAGATAAAATCTATTAATATTTGTATTAATAATTTATTTTCTCTTAATATATAGTATATAAACAGTATTATTATCTTATCTATATAAGTAGTAATTGTATGTGCCACTATTAAATAAATAAATAAGAAAATCAATACTTACTTAAAAATTTGAGAATATATATAACAACATCATTTAGAAAAACTTCAAGTAGGGGTCAATGTAATTTTTTCCAAGCTAGATTAAATCTTCTTTATTTAAAAATTAAAACATTATATTTAAAAACAATTACACTAAATAATTATTTTTGTTCCTAATAATTGATTGATTTAAAAAAATATCTCTCCAAGTTGTAATAATTTCTTAAATTTGCATTTTATTGATTTATGAATTTTATATTTAAGTAGTAAATCAGTAAAATATAAGTAACGAGTATAAATATATAAGTATTTAATGAATCTATATATAAAAATTATAAATAAGTAGATTGTTAATTATAAAGGTAAGTATATATATATATATAAATATTAATTAAATATATATATTATTATTCATAATATAATTAATTATCGAGCGGTGTGTAATACTTAATAAAAGTTACATCCCAGTACTGGTGTTTGTATAACCTATTTGTCTTTATATATATAGAGAGAGAGAGACAAAGAGACTGAGAAAATGAATGGAAGAAAAATAGTTAAATATATAGTTGTTTGATTATTTATATAGTAATAGTAGTTGTTTGATTATTCTATATAGTAATATATAAAGGGAAATATATATACGCCATGTTGTAAATGATTTTTGTCTCCAAAATAATGAATAATTATACCCTCAATTCTTAAGAAATAAATAAATAATTTTAATTATTAATTTTACTTTTTATTAAAATATTTAAAGACACGAAGTGCATAATGGTACATGATAACCTAATTTAATTTATGAATAGGGATCCTTTTACTCGAATAGTAAGTTTATCTAGACTTACTCCATTCAATAACTCATGTCCAATATTAAATTTTAACGATGAAACTGTTTAATTTAAAATTCTTGATGCATAGATCAAATCTGCAAATTTTCAGAAAATTTGAAAATCATACTTCATTTAATTAATTCAAATTGACGGATAATTATAGAATTATTTTATACATTGATTAAAATTAATGAAATGAAGTATTAAATGATTTTCAAATTTTCTAACAATTTACATGTATGATCTATGCATTAAGAACTTTAAATTGAAAGGTTAGATCATTGAAATTGAGAAAGAAAATAAGTTATTGAATGGAGTAAGTCTATGTAACTCTTAGAGTAAAAAGATCCATCCTCTTTAATATATGTTTTTGTTTAAAAAGAACTTTTGTGTTTAATTTTCTCTTTATGCTTTTTTAGTTTATCAGTTGTCGTCCTACATGTGTTTGTTACCTTTTTCTTTAATTTGGATTTTATACAATGTAAGTTTTAATTAGAGATTCAACGAATCATATTAATATTAAAGATTTCAAAAAATTATATTACTATTAAACATTTGATAAATAAGGATATTTTTTAAGAAATAACTTATTTAAGATATTATATAATAAGTTTTTATATGATAAGATCTTATAATATTATAAGTGTTTAAAATTTAATAAACTTTTGTATTTGAATATTTTAAAAAGTAATTATATAATTTTAAAGTGTTGAATGTATAATTATTTAAATACTTATAGGATGTTATTTCATTTTAAAAATAAAGAAAAATTATTATAATTAAATTTTGATTGAAAGTAAAATAAAAATATAAAAAGTAACTAAATAACTTTAAAAAAAATAATTAGAAAATTAACACGTATAAGAAAGAAATAAAAATAATTAAATATAAAAAGTAACTAATTAAAAAATAATACATATAAGCATCACACATAAGTACTTAAAAAAATGCCAAAAAAAAAAAA